AGAGTGTATACATTTATTCAAGCAGAAGACATATTAATGGTTCTTATATTATAGAGATGCTAAAAATGCAGAATACTGGATAACTTTGGGAGCCCTTAACCACCATGCCACCTGCCTACCCACCGTATTATAAACTCTTAATGAAAAACATGGTTTAATAAGTGAATAGTCTGTTAACTCTAATTCCCCCTTATTTCCCTATTGTTAGGTATTAGATTGTTTGCAATTAGTCACTATTATACAATGCTGTATTTTTCAGTGTTTAAAATTATTTCCAGGAGTGGTTTACTATCATCAGAATAACTGAATCAAAAGGCTTTTAAATAAAGAAGTTCATGGACAAATTTATTGTCAGTTGAGGCAATTATAGCACAAAAATGATTAAAAACTAGACAGACCTGAGTTTGAACTCCATCTGCCACATTCTAGTTCTCTAAATCTGGCCAATTTAATTAGCTCTCCATTTAAACTTTGGTATCCTCTGCCATACAAGCCAGATAATAGTAGTAGTTTACACTTTATAATATAACATGTCACTAAAGTAAACAGGTTATGTAGGGTGGTTAAATAGCCTCCCTCAGGTCCCACCGCCAGTAAGTGATAAATCCAGTAACTCAAGACCAGATGCAGTGGTATGGGCAGTGGGGGTGTTGCCCCATCATGCTGGAGGCCATAGAGGAAGGCTCCTCATATCTCAGGCCTACCAGAACATAAGCAGGCATGTCCATGATCCTGGGTGGTTGCAGGGCTGGGGAGGATTGCACAGAAAGGACCCTGTCCAAGGTACTTACAATTCTGCCTCTCCCATATAAAGGAAATAAATAAATAAACTTTAAAAACTATTCAGGGAATCAGGTTCAAGATGCAGCAACCCTTAATCACTATGCATACTGCTTTCTAATTTTTTTTTTTTAAATTTGCCATAGGACACACATACTCAATGGAGAAAGAGAAGGGATGGCCATACCACAACTCCTTCTCTATTCTCTTCTTGGGATTTTGGGTATGCACACAAGTGCATCTGGCATGTTTTTCAAACTACAAGTCCGGGACTTGAACCATGCAAGTGGGCAAGTGGGATCCCATCGCTTTAACCACCAAACCACCACTCACTGGCCTCTGTTTCCTAATTCTCTACAGTTCAAAACAGGTTAGGAAAAACAGGCAAATGACTTCACCTCTCTTGCTTCAGTTTTCTTAGTTGTCCCATGTGTAAAATGTGAATAATAAGAAAACTTACCTTATAAATCTGTTGTGAGGATTAAATAAGCGCAATGTATGTAAAGTATTAAAACTGCCTGCTACATATAAAAGCTTTGTAAGTGCTTGCTATATTAAATTACTTGTAGTTTTGTAATGGGCTATACTTTTTAAAATTAAAGAGCAAATCTATAGATGTAAAAATGTACTGTAGGTTTCAGACAAAATACTTGGTCTAACCTTGCCCAGGAATAACATGAAATCCCCCACTGTGTTGATGGCAGCCACTCTCAAAGCATTCTCCACCAGTATGACAAAGGCATCCTTTGCTGAGGTGCAGAAGTTGGTGCTATTGATAGCTGTGGCTGTGTACGCATTCTGACAAAAGCAAAACAATATTTTCATCAATAAACTGAAACTTATTTTGTTAAACTATAAACCAAGCACATTATATAAAACATAGTTTTTTAAAAGAATTATTTTATTTAAATTTATCTATTTATTTATTTTAATTTGACCAGAGAGGGACAAAGAGAGAGAGAGAGAGACAGACAGACAGACAGACAGACAGAAAGCAAGCCGCCAGGTTCAGGACTTGAACTGCAGCTAGTCATGTGGGAGTCCAGCACCCTTAACCATCATGTGACCTGCTGGCCCATAAAAATATAACTTCTAAAAATATCTCATAGTTAAACCCATGGCGTTGACAAGGTATACAGATTGAGAGTGAGCACAAAGAAATGTAAGACATTTTAAAAAAGAAAGAAAGAACCTGAAACAGTAAAAAACAAAACTTTCCAGTTGGTTTCCTTTGGGTCCTTTAAAAACACTATTGTTTATTAAAACACACACAACCCTAACGTGCATTAATTTCTTCCCTGTCTTAGTAAATCAAACCTAATTTAATCCTTCCTACATATCCCACGTTCATCGCTATGAGTATCAGCGATGTGATGTAATCATCTCGGTGATGCTTTAAAAGCTGCAGAGATGTGCACTGGCATCAGATGGCTGTGCTGTTTCATCTGGAACATCCACTTTGTGCTGTTTTATCTCGAAAAGCTATCACCTCCTCTCAGGCTTTTTCTATACTGTCATTTCTCACAGCTCTTCAGAAAGATATTTTATATCTTTCCCCTTCCTTGGGGTAATACCCCAAATCTCCTTTGAGCAAATGGCCCTTCCCCATTCTCTGTCCTGGAGTCTAAATGAATTTGACACTAGCTCTAGCTTGGGGGTGGGACATAAGCCAATCTTGCTGTTCTGCCCACCTGGCCACCCTGATTTGCTTAGGGACTGACAAACTAATTAGAGCCAATGAAAGTCAGAGCTGTTCCCTGGGAGTTCCAGGGAAAAGGTTTCCTTTCTCTCCCCCAGGACTCTTGAAAGGTGTAGAGGTATGAATGCCATAGCTGTTTTGCCAACATAACAGGAAGAGCTACTGGGGTCACGGAATGAAACTGTGGGTAAGGCCAACACCTTGGAACTCAAAGCAGGGAGAAACTTGGTTCCTGACCTTGGTGACAATGTTTGCATCTTTAAGACTGATCCAGATTTCTGGGCTTTTCAGTTACAGAAGTCAATCAGGTCTTTCTCCCTCTCACTCTCCCTTGTTTAAGTCAGATTGAGCGGGGCTTTCTGTCCCTTAGGAGAATGAATCACAGAGGATATAATTTCATTCAATTATAGCTGCTTCTGCTGCCCATATCCTCGTTGACCTACTAGTCACAGACTGGTTCCTTTTCTTCCATTATATTCTAGAATAGTGCTAATGTTTCCTGGAAACTGTGACTAAGTATTGTAATAGCAAGTATGTCTAAGCCTTAGGAAAGGAAGGTATATGGGCTTTGTGACTAAAACTTTCGGTCCTTAGAAATTTTGCATTTAGTGCTGACTTAAACTTTTGGTGGGTTCAAAGTGATGAACTTGCTGGAAACATGCTGGTCAGAAAGGGTGATTTGGGGCCAGCCAGTGGCATGGTGGTTAAGGTGGCTATATTCTACATGGCTGACTATATGGGTCAAGTCCTGGACCTGGCGGCTTGAGAAACATGCTGGGCATGTGGCATGCATGCCCAAAATCCCAAACAGAAGGAGAAATGAAGGAGAAGGAATTGCAGTGTAATCATTCCAGGGAGGGAGAGCAGGGTGCTTTCTCACCTCCCCCCCGCCTTTTTTTTTTTTTGAGAGGTTTTTGCTATAGGGCGCGTGTGCTTGCCAGAGAGACAGAGAGAGACAGAAAGCGAGAAATCACCCCCCAGGGGGATTGGTCACACCGCAATCACCTCTCCTCCATTCTTCTCTCGGGATCTTGGGCACACACACACACGCGTGTCCGGCATGAGTTTAAGACACTGGGTCCGGGACTCAAACCGTGGTCGACTACATGAGTTCAGCAACATAGCCATTACGCTAACTGTTGGTCCCTCCCTCTTTTTTTTTTTTAAAAGATTTTATTTAAATTTATTTATTTATTTACTTATTTATTTTAATTTGACCAGAGAGGGACAACAAAAATGAGAGCGAGAGAGAGAAAGAGAAAGCAAGATATGAAGTCCGGGACTCGAACTGTGGTTGACCATGTGAGTCCAGTGCCCTTAACCACCATGCCACCTGCCGGCCCCTCACTTTCCCTCTTTTATTTTCTTTATCTCTTTCCAATGAGTGCAATCACTCTCTGGTAAATTTAATAAAAAGCAAGAGTCAGGGGGCTGATTTTACTTATACTGTGTTGTCTACAAAGCTTTAAACATTAAGCCAGGGAAAGACAGTCTTTAATTCATGAATGTTCTAACTGTCTATTTGACAGTTATTAAAAACCAGGTAAGAAGATGAGGTTTCAGTTACCAAACATTTAATTTGCCATTATAAGATAAAGTTCACTAAGAATGCAGAACATTTCAGAGCCAAGGAAAAGCTACTATACTGAGTAGATCACTACCTGTGGTTCCTATTTTATTTTTTTTCCCAGCAATGGAACAGTAGGGAATTATGGTGCTCTTGGAGAAATACAGTATGCTTTTAAAGAAAAATTTTGCCAAACGCCATATGTGTTCTCCAAAGAGAAAAAGAAAAACAGTCAGTCAGAAGGAGAGAAAGAAAGCCCCCCCCCTCCAGTGGAACATGATCATGCCACAATCCCTTTTCCTCCAATTTCTCCTTTGTACCACAATTCTGGGTACACACATACACATGGTACGTTTTTCAAGCTGCTGGGGCTGTACAGTTGGCCATGTAGGATATGGTTCTCTTAACCACTAAGTCACTGGGTTGGCCCATATAGCATGATTCTGACATACAGAAGGCCTTCGCACAAATTGTAGTAACTTACCATCAGGATGTTATTATGTTATGTTTGTGAAGTTTTTTTTTTTTTTTTTTTAATCTCAAAACCTAATATATAAGCTATTTTCTAGAAATCATATGATTAAGCTTTTTGTTAGCATTATTTGCTACTTGCCCCCTTTAACTGTCATCTGCCAATGCTTCTTAGTTAAAAGATGACAGACATCAATGAGTTAACTACCTCACTGCAGTGGTCCACATTTCCCCCATCTTCTACAAAAGCTTCTTTTGAAACTTTCTGCTGAATGCCTCAATGAAGTAAAAATAAACCATACTTTTGATCTTGTATAACAGTAACCCTGCTGAAAAGCAATAGAGAAGAACTGCCTCAGCAAGACCTATTCTCAAAGGACACAGACTGGTCTCGGGTTATCACTAGTTCCCTAAATACTCACAAAACACTCATTTAATAATTTCTTCTAGATTAGGGGTGCTGTCAAACTACCCCCTGGGCCAAATCTGGTCAACTGACTGCTTGTGCATATGAAGTTTTACTGGAACAAGCTGAGCCCATTCGTTTACATACAAGGGTACTTTAAAAAGCTGGAGGAGGCCAGACAGTGGTATGGCCATAACAGCACTCTAAAAGCTAACCCACAGGGGAGGGTTCTGGATTCACTCCCAGGTTTGTGTCCACAGGCTTTCTTGAACACACAAGGCATGTGAGTGCCTGTGGTTCAGGTCTGGTTGAGGCTAGATATGGATCACAATGTGGGACCCCTACTAGAGGGGATGTGACTCTCTCTCTTCTCATGGAAGAAATAAATTTCAAAGAAAAAAATGAAAGTATGAGTTTATTTTGATACAAAAATTAGGAAATCCATGCATTGTTTTTCATAATGTGCTTTCCACAGACTTTGAAGACTCCGCCTAAAGTCAATAGTTGCTTTTATGGCAACAGCAGAATTGAGCACTTGTGAAAGACTGTGTGGCCCACGAAGCCCAAATTTATTCTCTGCTACTTTACAGAAGAAATTTGTTGATCCCCTGTTGTAAATATGGCTGAGGATCACCTCAATCTTGTTTATAGCTATGGAACCTACCTGCTTATTCTTCTTGAGATATAAACCCCATCTGTTCATTTCAAGTTTTAGTAACTTCCTCCACAGTTTCTGGCCTTTTAGCATCATTCTTTTCTTTATTTTTTAAAATAATTATTTAATTTAATTAATTTATTATTATGTTTTAGTTTGACCAGAGAGAGATAGAGAGAAAGTGAGAAAGCAAGCTATCAGGTCCAGGACTCAAACCATGGTCGATCATATGGGCGTCCAGTACTTTAACCACTATGCCACCTGCTGGCCCTAGTATTTTCACTGTAATTCCTCACTTCTGACATTCTAAGATAAGATCAAGAACTAAAGAATCAGATGTTAATAATAGGTTTCCAGGGGAAAATATCCTATGATATTCAATATATCTTAGGTGGTATATCCTGATTATTAAAAAGCAGTGTAATATCTGGAATGAAGGAAACTGGACAGCCCATTTAAATCAGCTCAGTAATGTCTTATGTCCACCCCAGCCCCAGTGAGGAACAATTCACTCTTACCTACAGTTTTGTACCCTTTCTGCTTTGACTATGAGTTTCTCTGAAAGAGGGAACAAAAGCAAGCCAGAGTCAACGCACTTCCATCTGTTCCTGTAATCACCACACCCAGCTGCGTCCAGAGAAGGGCCCGCTTACAAACTAAACTATAAAAGTTTCTCTGTCTTCCTCATTAGCTTTCCGAAGCTTCGGTTCTGTATGGAATCTGCTGGTTCATTCTCACCTCACCCTGCTCTATTCTATCTGCCTTTACAATATCAGCCTATTTATTTGAAACAAGGAATAAACAGAAGTAACTCCTTTCCACCCCTCAGTTGCAGGGGAGGATACATACGCATAGGAATGTATTCTTTCTGGCAAATTCCTACAGATCTGTGCAACTCTTTTGTATTCAACCTGACTAAAAGAAAGGTAGGTGGATATTCGTAAGCTCTTTCACTCAGTCCCAAGATGGGAGGATGGGCTGCATGACATGCACAAACGTC